GACAGTGACTCTGGGATCCTGTAGGAAAAAAAACTAAAGCAATGATTAGGTCTCAAGAGGACTAGCTGTAGCTCTGGCTAGAGTACTATAAGAAGGTGCACCACCTCAGCTAGCTAATCTGGAATTGTCTAGAACAGTATTAGTCTCAAATCCATCCTAGAGTGGTGTACACTAGTTCAAAGACATGCAGTTGAACCAAGTGGAATCGATGTTGTGGGGCCCCATCTTCTTTCCGGAGAGGTCAAAGACTGCTGTTATGAAATTTTATTGTTCACTGTGAAAGATTTAAACATTAATATCAACACAGAAAGTTTTAATTTTATAGGTATACATACTGAGAAAGGTAACAATAAGGATGAAAGTATGTATGAGGGAAACTGGGATTCTTGAGAGATAACAGAGTTTTGACAATTATAGTCCCTAGATTTTGTCTTCCTCTGTCTCAAACCAATTGGCTCTATTGATCTTAACTACATGCTTCAATTAGAGAAGGAAAGCCAAATCTAACTCCAAAGCCGGCTTTGATTTTTATGTGAACTGGTACTACCAGTGTACTTGGAAGTAAGGAGATATAAGTGTTCTTGGAAGTAAGAGAGATTTTACCCTGTATAGATATTAGTGCCATAATTCTTTGTTTGATGATTCTTTAAGGATAGCTATCCTTTCTTCTTTAGGTATCTACACGTCCAATGTCTTTTGGCTTCTTGAAGATGGGTATTTTCTGTTTTCCCTATAAAGACAACAATAGAATGCTTCCTCGACCTTTGTGAGGTTTCCTTACAACTTGTGGGATATACCTCGTCAAGAGGTTTTTCCTGTTAAAAGGAGATCTTGATCAACTTTGATGGTATTCACAGCTTTTGTTCTCCTGTAGAGAATATAGCACATATCCTGGTTTCCAATCAGAGGTCAACATATCCTTGAGGTACACCAGCTTATTCAGCTCAGAAGTTTTTTCTATTGTCCAATGTCTTTCTACGGCTGTTTTTCCTTTCTCGTTAGCATTAACAAAGTTCAAGGTAGGAAAGCATTTTTTGAGGGTCTGGGTTCCCCCTGTCTGTTTATATAGTATTTCCTTTTAAAGTGTGATTAGATCTCTCAACAAGTGCTTGTCCTTTAAAAAACTGTTTCAATTGACTGGAGACATATGCTGGAACATTGTAAAAGTTTTTATTGGTGCACATATATCCATAATAGCCATTACCTCTAATAGGTGATAACAGAATCAGCCTTTTCAGAGCTCAGAGCAGTTGTCCATTGAAATCCTGAAAATGTGTCTATGGTATGATGCACATATTTTAATTTTCCAAATTTTGCAAAGTGAAACATCCATTTGTCAAATTTCATTTCTATATATATCTTTAGGGTTAATAACTGCTAGAGAAGGAACAAGTAGGACTTTTTTTTTTTTTTACTATTTCCTTAGCTTGTTGCCAAGTGATGGAAAAATCCTTTCTTTAAACCTTTGATATTCACATGGTGTTTTTTTTATGAAATTCCGAGACCTCCATCACACTTCCTATTAATAATCGATCAATTTCATCATTGCCTTGTATTAGAGGACGTGGCAGACCCATATGGGATCTGATGTGTGATGTGTGATATGTATATATGATGAGTCTTATTCCTGGTTATTTCTTGTAATTGTACAAATAATGAAGTTAATTCTGTATAATCAGGAATAAATTTAACAGTTTCAATGTGTAAGATGGCTCTCTGCATATTGAGGGTCAGTAAGTAGGAAGGTTCTGCAAAATCCGTAAGTGCTATGAGAATGGCATACAATTCTGTCTTTTGTACAGTTACAAGGACTTTGAAACACTTCACTTATATTTCCTGATTTATATTCTGCCTTACCTGGTTTGTTTGCATCAGTGTGGAATGTAGGGACTCCAGAGATTGGAGTTTTTCTTACAATGTGTGGAAGGATCCAAATGGTTTTCTTTATGAATTTTATTCTCTCACTTTTGGGATAATTCTTGCTAATCGTTCTCAAAAAGTTACTGCAAGCTCTTGGCCAATATTCATTATCTTTCCATAAGTAGGAAATTTCCTCATTAGTTAAATGTACTATAATTTCTGCTGGGTCTATTTGTGTCAGTGGATGAAGTTTTAATCTTCCTTTTAAAATCAAATCAGAAATCTTTTCTGTATGTTTTAATTTTTTATTCTGTTCATGTGGTAGAAAAATCCATTCTAATATTGTATCTTTCCTCTGCATCAAAATCCCAGAAGGGTATTCCCTAGATGGTAACATAACAAGAATGCAGTTGAACTTGGGATCCACACGGTCCACATGTGCCTCTAGTATTCTCCTTTCTACCCATTCTAATTCTATTTAAATCCCTGTCCCCTTTTAGAGTCTTTTCCAAATTTTTTAAATCATGTGAAAATGAATGCACAGATGAGGGCATCAGATCCTACTATAGATGGCTGTGAGCCACCTTTGTGGTTGCTGGGAACGCTGGAAAAGCAGCCAGTGCTCTTAACTGCTCAGCCATCTCTCCAGCCTGATAGCTAGATTCTTAGACTGGTGAATCTCAGCTGAGGTTATCGGGGCATCCTGTGACAGTGGCAACACAAGTGGCCTCTTCGGGCCTCTGAGATCAGGCTCTCTGTCTGAAGATCCTATCATAACATAGTAACAGCAAAAGAAATTTTCTCATGGTTCAACTCAGTCATCCCTCACCTCCATGAACAATGAAGACTAAGATGCAGCATTCCTTAACATGCAAAGTATGAGACATATGCTAATAATTTACACACAAAAGTAAAACTTGCTACTTTGTATTAGTAGAAAAAGTGAAGATGGATTTTTATATTAGACTAAAAAGTCAGAATGGACCAATTTTATTTATATGACTCACCAGAGAACTAGGATTTGATGGTTTTTTATATATGGAAGGGGCTCAATTAACCCTGTGGGCTGACTGAAACATGGGTGCTATGACAGATTGCATTTAATAGCATAAAGTAGACGCATGGAGCAAAACCCTCAAGAACATTAGAATGATTAAGTCAATTTATCATGTGTACCTTGTGCATTTATAATCCTCCTATCATTATATACTCAGGAAGGCCCAGAGGATACTTCTATAGCCAAGGCTTCGCTGTCATTTACTGGAATGCTAGTACAGGGCATGAGGTATCCTGCCAATCACAAAACTCATCATACAACATAACTTGTCTGTTCTCTTACTAGCCCTTTTTTTTCTCCCTTGCAGCACTTAGTACACATTGCAGCTACTTAGTTATCTGCCTGGTTTTTATTTATTTATTTAGTCGTTTGTTTTCACAGTCTCTTTCACTACCTCAGGATCATTGGTGTCATGTCTTAATTCAAATGCACACTTCAACAAAAACTGCAAATCAGTCCATGTCTTGATCCTTCAAAATTGCATTTATATAGCTGACATCTTAAAGATGAAAATGCCAAAAGTCTACCAAATTCTACACATCAAGTGTTCAGTTTGTAAAGATGTATGCTCACAGTAAGGTCAAAATGACTTATTTTTTGAACTCCAAATACTTAATATTAGGAACCTCCAACTAAAATTGGCTTTGGGGCTGGGGTAAAACTAGTGAAAGTACTTGGCCTTCATGTGGTCCCGTGTTCTATCCTCAGTACCCAAACCAAAACCAGATTTGTTTTCTTACCTACGGACAAAGTCTAATGTACAATCTGCTCACTAAGACAAAAGCATGAACCTCACAGAAATGTGTGATCAAAGAAGAGGACACAGGTGAAGGGAGGGAACAAAACATCATGGAATGCTGAAAGTGGGTGGTGGATGTTAATAATCCTCTCATCTGAATGGAATGCTTTGTATGCTGGTCCTCAAAGACATTAAAGCCATGGAATCACAGACATAAATTGGCATTGTACCCAACTGAACTTGAACCAACTACAGCTGTAACTCATTCACCACTCTTCTTCGTAGGTCCAGGCCTTGTTTTGAAACTAGCTCTTACTCTTCCTTGCCCATAAGCTGTTTCTAGCTTCAGTTTCAGTTCTTTTAAAGCACAAAGAACCTCAGCCCATATGACACAAACAAAAACCAATTTCTTCTTACCTCATACAAGTTTTCGAGTATTTTTTACTTAATCTTGGGCATGCGAGTTGCAAGGCAATTTCTGTGAGAACTTATTTTTCCAAGGCAGCAACATAGTCTTTAAAGAAATAACCCTCCCTTTTACAATAATATCTCATCATTACAGAATATGAACCCAGCATAAGTTCAGAGACAAACACAACTCACTCTTAGACAGCAAGCAGTGTGACTGAATCAAATATAAACATACAAGCAACAACATTGCATCTAAAAGTGTGAGGACTATAGACAGTTAACACACTGCTTTACCAAGAGAATGAATAGCACTGATCATGTATGTATCTGGTTAGTTTAGTAAAGTCAGCTGAGAGACTGCTTGCATGTAGGATTCAGGTACAGACTGGGTATAACTAACACAAAAGATTGAAGCAGTTTCCCTGTAACAAGTACTGGTTCCTGTCCCAGTGGCCCCTGATCACATCTATCAGGTGTTTAGAAACAATGAAATTCAAATTATTCCAGGGTATTTTAAAAATAAGTAATTTATTTTAGTAGAACATGATAAAAGTCACAATTTAACTCTTATTTGAACTAAATGTGTCATTAAAGGGCATCATAATCAAATCACAATAGTCTAAAAATAATTTCATGAACTTTTTTTGAAGAGTAGTTAAAAAAAAACTTAGCATTCGGGATGCTGACATAGAAGAATCCCAAGTTCAAAGTTAATATGCTATGTAACAAGTTCAAAGTTAAACAATGAGACTGTCTCAAAAACTTTTTTTTAAATTTCATATTGGAGCTTTAAGATGTTCCATTAGCAAGATGGAAGGCAGTTTCAGCATTTACTTAACACTAAAAAAAAATGTGCTACGGGCACCTGATTGAAACGCTTCTGAAATTGACTATACTACTTGGGTGATTTGGGTTTGAAATGTGTAAACTTACTGATCTCGCTGGAAACCTGATTCAGTTTATCCTGGGACCTGCTGATTAGGACAATCTTCATCCCACGCTTTGCTAACTGAAAACAATAAAAGAGATCGGAATCACATCTGTGAAGTTTATTCTAAAACAGAAATTAGATACAATCCATCTTAAAATGAGTATCTGAGACTTGATGGTTAATCTTCAATATCGACTGCATTTAGAATCACCACAGAAACACACTTACGGGTGACCTGGAAAAGTTTAACTGAGAAGACCTGCACAAAACATGGGCAGTTCCATCTTATTGGCTAAGGCTCTGGGATCATTGTTAAAAAGCTGAGCATAAGTATGGCTAATTCTTGACTAAAGATACAATAGATAGTAGTTATAAGATAATCAGCTACCTTGATGCCTTGCAGCCATGGCTTCTCTAGCCTTGAACTGCAAGCCAAACTAAGTCTTTGTCAGGTAAAGTATGTTGACTATTGTTAATGAATAAATTAATAATTTCTTGAAGAGATTCTTCTACATACATATGTACGCAACACTTTGTAATGTTGCACAGAGTGAAAACCATTCACAGTGATGTATTCCTGTCATAGACACACATAAAATCAGAGATAGAGAAAGAACGCCAGGGGACATAAAACTTTGTACTGAACTGCCAAACAGTATACAAATGGGCAACACTCTGGGTGATATGAAGCATAAGTGATTCAATACACTAATTCCCAGTTATAAATCCTAAAGTCAGCTTTTATTAAGTAACAAGTAATACTGCAAATGAGGTTATGGAAGATCATTTTTGTAAAAATAACAAGGCCTGGTAATTTGCTAAATTAATCTCCTATAAAACCACTAAAAAATCCATTAGCCCATATTGATACTTTAAGAAAAAAAAAGAGAAACACATTAACAAAGGAGGAAGGGCATGAAAAGCTCTTATTTATAGAAAAACACCAACCAGGCATGGTGGGTCATGGCAATAATTCTAGAGGGAGGAAGACTGCACTGAGCTCAAGGTTAGCCTGAGTTACATAATGTATTCTAGACTAGCTTAGGCTACAAAGAAAGAGATATATTAGAAAATCACTATTTAAACTATTATGGTAAACTAATTCAGGCAAAATCATCAACAGGTGTGAAAAACACTGAGCTAAAAATTAGCTGGAAAATACAGTAGATAGTCCCAAGGTATCTTAATGAATTGTTTGCCGTAACACCATCAATAATGGAGCACATCAGTTATGTTGCACCACTTGATACGATGAGGTCAGAAGGATTAATAACACTTTTATTATCATTTCTGCTAAATATGTTTACCCTGAATCTAATCATGAGAAGATAAATTCAATTTTGTCTGCAAAACAATAGGCTCATATTTCTCAAAGTGTCACTTTTATAAGAAGCTGAGAGAGTATGCCCTAACACGATGACTGGGGCCAACAAGATGGCTCAGTGAGTAAAAGTACTTTTGCCAAGCCTGATGACTTGAATCTGATCCCCAGAACCCTTATGTTGGAATGAAAGAAATGACTCCCCCAGAAGGTGTCCTCTGACTTTCACATGCATGTTGTGGTGAGCATGCATCTACAAACACACACACACAAATAAATACATGTGGGTTAGAGATGCCTCAGCAGTTAAGAGTGTACTGCTCTTGTAGAGGACCTAAATTCAGTTCTCAACATCCATGTCAGATTTCTCACAACTGCTTGTAACTCTAGGCCCAGGAAATTCAAAGATTCAATGCCCTCTTCTGCCTTCCTGCGTGGTATAAACACACACACACACACACACACACACACACACACACACACAATTAAAATCTTTAAAAATACGTACTCACTATCTCTGTGAGTTTGATAGCCTGGTCCACATAGAGAGTTCCAGGCCAGTCAGGGCTACATAGTAAGATCCTGTCTAAACAGCTGACCTGTGCTAGTCAGAGCTCATGGGACCAATCTAGGACCTCTGCATGTGAATGACAGTTGTGTAGCTCTGTCTGTTTGTAGGGCCCCTAGCAGTGGGATCAGAACCTTCCCAGGCACATGAACTGGCTTTCTAGAACCTATTCCTCATGCAGGGATGCCTCACTCAGCCATGATGCAGAGGGAGGAGTTTGGCCGTGCCTTAATGGGATGTGACATGCTTTGTTGATTCTCATGGGAGGCCTTACCCCTTCTGAATGGAGGAGTGGAAGCGGGGGTAAAAGAGAGGTGAAGGAGGGAGGAGAAACTGTGGTTGGTATGTAAAATAAATGAAAAACTTAGTAAAAAAAGAGATCCTGTTTAAAATCAAATAAATGAAACAAAATAAATGTAATAAATTTTAAGCAAAACTATTTAAGATATTATTCTACTTTTTTCTTATTTTTAAAACAGACTCTGAAAATCACCTACCTCTTCTGCATATGATTTTCCAATTCCATCAGTGCCACCTGTAACAACTGAGAAAACAAAAGAATAGTTTAGTTTAAGAACTACAACAAGGAAGTGGTCCAGCTAAAACACACCAGCACACCCAAGAATACTAAGACAGTATTTGATGTGAAAGAGCAATATCCAGAGCTGGGTGTGGCGCTTAGTGGAAGAGCACAGGACTTCCTATACAAGAGACCCTCAACTCTACTCCTGCTGTGGGTATTTGATTGCATTGTGACACTCCGAGATTGTTCATAAACTTAACCTTGAGTCAAGGGGCAGAGTCCACAACTAGCTGACCAGAATTAGCCATAGAAAATTTAGAGGACCCAGGATATGATATGATGGAGAAGCAAAGGAAAGTAGTGAGGGGCTTAGGAAGATTCCCCAGTCTTTGTGATCTAGCAAGGGAGAGGGGGTCAGCTGGTTGTTCCTTCCTCTGGCATTTTCCTCATCTATCAGGTTTTCACCCCAATATCTGACTCCAATTTTTTATTAACAATAGAACAAATTAGATAAACTCTTCAAATACCTAGTGAAATAAATAAACACACAAATAACTGGCAGCAGTATTCAAATTTAAAATTAACTACCCATCACAACATCTCCAATCGAAAAGACAAAAATATCAGGTAGTACCAGACTGACACAAAGGCAAGAGTAAATATTATATCATGAAAGGACTTTAATATTCAAGTCATTATGAAAGTATCTGCTCAAGGGACTTCAGTGATGTTATGCAATTAGCTCTGAAAACTAACGTGGTTACACACAGGACTTGTGGAATAAGACCTTTGCTACTTTCTCATTCAATGCATGCTATATACAATTAAGAATTATCATTTTCAAATGGCTCAGTGGTTAAGAGCACTGGATGCTCTTGCAAAGGACTTGGGTTCAATTCCCAGCACTCACATGGGAGCTCATAACCATACATACACTCAAGCACATACATACACATGCACATAAAATACATGAAAACATATTTTTAAAAAGAGTTATCACTTTTTAAAACTATTTTATAACTTTACTGATTTGTCAAGGAGTGAATAATGTCCCTTCCTGTTGCTCCTATCAGTCATCTCTGAGGAACTCCTAAAACAACATCTAATGCATTTGCCTCACCTTATTCTTATTCCTCCCCTATCCATCCTCCAGACCTGGGCCAAAGTGATCATTCCAACTACAAATCTGAACATCGTTTTCCTGCCTAACACCTGTCAGTCAATGTCAGTATCACCACAGTCAAACTGCTAAGCCAGTGACTCCAAAATGAGAAGATTTAGTGAAGTTCTGGTGGATGAATAATGAGTGAATGAATGAACTCCCCCTACTTTCACCCTTTGCCAAGCCCTTGGTAAGTTGACCTTAGCTCCCGCCAGGTATGCTGGAATATATCCACTTCCTCCAAAGTAGTACTCTCTTCAGAAGCACTATTCTCTTTATTCCCAATATTCCCAAATTTTGCTATGGTTTGAACATGTCCTTTCCAAAACTACGATGTTAAAACTTAATGAGATGTTAAACTTAATGGCCAATGTGATAGTAGACCAAGGTGGGGACTTTAAGAAGTGTTTATACCATGAGATCTCCATCTTTATGCATGGGATTCATGAAGGCTTCATAAAGCATGTAGCCTTCATTTAGCCTCCTTGCTCTCTGTCCCTACCATGAAAGGAAACTGCACTCCAGGGGTACAGGCAAGTCACTGGGCTGGAGAACACTTTCATAATACAAGCAAGCCTGTTGGCATCTTGCTCTCGGATTTCTCAGTATGCAGCACCATGAGGAGTTAAGTATCTGGCTTTCTAAGTTTCTGCAGCTGTTCTGGCAGCTCAAATGGACAGACACATACCCATAGCAGAGTTCTGCTTTCCATCCTGGAGTTTTTCATTTGAATATCTGCTCTCTTTGTCCCTTCCTTTACAACTAGACTGTTAGGACCTCAGAGTCCTCTATACTTCCCCTTATGGAGCTAACCACACAGGTATCCACAGGACAAGACATGTCTGGGTTTCCACAGTCTAACTGCTAGGGCAGTAGCTGGTTTAAAACAAAACCAAAGAAAACCAAAACGGTAAACAAAAGACAGCCCAGTGGTTAAGAGCACTTGGTGGCTCTTACAACCTAAGTGTAGTCTCAGCAGCAACACGGTAATTTATAAACCATCTATAATTCCAGTCCCAAGGAACCCAATGCCCTTTTCTGACCTCAGTGGGTACCATGTTTATGCATACATTCATGCAGGTAAAATACTCATACACATAAATATTTTTAAAAATTATTTTAATGAGGATTCATGAAGTTTGTTGAAGAATGGATGAGTGAATGAGTAAGATTCTGAATGGAAAGTTAGCCTCTTGTAACAAGACTTACTGCTGCTTTACTCACTCCTTATTTGGATACAACACACAGCCCAGATACTTCAACTCCTCTCAATGTCACACAAGAATCAATAATATAAAATGAGATTTTTAAAAAATGTTACTGCAAGATATTTAACTTGTACATAAGGAACTAGTTAGGTACATACTTTCAAAGAAGTCTATGGATCTCCTTGAAAGAGCTGGCTTTCACTTGGCTCTAAGGTATCAGGGCTGGTCTGAAGTGACACAGTCCAAACAGAATTAGAAGTGGGGAAAGTAGCCACTTAGATTAGTTGAATCCAGGTTCACTATCCTCATCCCTGAGATTTGCTTCTTGGGTTAACAGTGGGTATCCTCAGATTTTGCTATGGAGTAAGGGGATATATTTAGACAGCTTTCCACAGCATACACAAAAAAAGCTACCTTGAGGTTGGGGAAATACAAAAGATGGCCACAAGTAGAATGATGGAAGGAAGGAAGGAAGGAAGGAAGGAAGGAAGGAAGGAAGGAAGGAAGGAAGGAAGGAAGGAAGGAAGGAAATGGGAAAAGGAGATTTTTAAAAGGCTCATGTCTGTACAGATAAATATAACCCCAGAACCCATATCTGCAAGCGTCTGGGAAGATGAGAACTGACAATTATAAAGAATATCCCAACTTGGCATTCTGAAATGTTTCTCTTGTTACAGATTATATAAAATACTGGCAACTGACCAGGACTCTCCTTCCAAATTTTATACAGTCAACAAAAAGTACTTTAGTTTGTGTAGGTTAAAAATATTCTACTCTTTTTGTCCTCAACTTGCTAGGAACAGCTATTTTTAGTAAGAGCCCAATCAACCTTATCAAAATCAAACATCAAAAATAGACTAGAGGAGCACTGGAAGCAAACATGCTATTTTTAGCTCTCCCATCTCTTCCCTGCCTCTGCCCACTAAACTGACTGCAGAGCCCATGCATATGAGCTTAGTTATTCCAAGCAAGTTCCTTTTGTCACACCCCCCCTTAATACCTGAATGCAGAAAACACTTGACTGATTAAAGATTAATACTGCCACAAACCATGACAGCTGCCTTTCCTGACTGCTTGGGGCTGTGGGAGGGATAGAAAGTGACAGAAAGCTTGGATCAGTATTCCTCCTGGGGATCTATTGCATGGAAAGAAAATTGCTATTTCAATTCCCTTTTGTTGCTAAAAATAGCAGTCTCCATTGATTCAAGCCAGCAGTCTACAGGCTTAGCAGAGCTGAATTTAGAAAGCACTGAAGTCCCTCAGCAAATGCTAACGTAGTCTAACATATGCCAGCTCATATTTAACAAAGAACAAAGAAGAGATGCATGCAGGGTGCAAATTCACAAAGCTCCAGTAACTTCCTGCATTTTTATTTTTATTTTAAAAAGTGAAAGTGATACAATAGAGGAACAGGCAGTAAGAACTTCTTCTCCTAGTCATAATTTAATTAAAAATTATTTTTCAGAAGAAACTAAATTTATGAGTAAACCTAAACATGTGGACATTTCCCCACAACTACAGTTTGAGTTCTTATACACTTTTCTCCAGACACTATAGATCACTATAGAATGTGGATGCCCACTTCACTACAGTACTATATCAATATAAAAGCTCCCACCAAGCAGCAGTCTTCCACCTTCTGCTACCCACTACCTCTCTGCCTGGAAGGTACTGTAGAGAGCTATAGCATGGTATTAAAAAAAAAATCACACTCAAGTCAGGAGGAAGTGGTGCACGCCTTTAATCCCAGCACTTGGGAGGCACAGCAGGCAGATCTCAGTGAGTTCGAGGCTAGCCTGGTCAAAAAGTGAGTTCAAAGTAAAAACCAAAGCAAAAAAAAAAAAAAAAAAAAAAACAAAAAACAAAAAAAGCTCTTGTAAACAAGCAAACAGAGAATATCCAAGCACCCATCATTAGTGTACTGAAAAGCAGGATCCCCTTACAGAGGCAAATCCCCTGATTAACTTCAAGGCACGATTATTGCCTGATTTTGCCCCTTTTCTTAATGACGACCTTTCTAAGCAATGATTCATTTCAATTAATACCATGTAAGAATTAAAAGGCTATTAATACTCACGCAATGATGTGACTTCATAAACCCAAACTGCTCATAGCATGTGAAGGTAGACCAGAGATCTGAATGATTACCACTTTGAGTCACAGGACTATTAGACACCATATGGAAAAGGCTTAGGCTTTTATTTTAATACAAACTCAGTAAAAATAAGTCATCAAGCTTATAACCAGTAACATGACAACAGCAAAGATTCAAGGTCAGGCTCAAACCCCAACTCTGCCAACTTCTGTTGTTTGTGTATTTGCAAAGTTAACATTGTCTGTCTCACAGAATCATGATAAAGATTCACAGCTACTGCGTAACCACCATATTAGACAAGAAAATATTAAACAGGGCAGTGTACATTTTGTTTACCAAAGGACATGGACACAGTAAGTGCTTACTAACTGTTAGCAATAAGATGAAGAATATTAAGAGAAAAGAAATGAAGGAAAACTGCTATTATTCCTTTTTTTCAAAGGAAATTGCTTCTCTGGTGGGAGCTTTTTCTTAGGAAGTTTTTCTTGAACCTTTTTGGAGCCTGTTTAAAGTTTTCTTTATATCACTGAACGAGTCTCTGTGTTTTCAATACCCG